TTGCCGAAATTTTCTCCGCGAGTACTCAAGCGCTCACACCACCCCTGAAGAACCTCGAAGCCGCACCACTTTCGACTTCACAAAGTGTTCCTCGGTTTCATCGATCCTCTCTCTAATTTTTTTTTTTACTCGCTTCGCCGTTTCTCTCTCAGTTTCTTTCTCGTAAGTTCGCCGTTTTCCAAGATTCCTCAAGACGTTGCCCTCGATTTTACAAAATGCTTCCCAGTTTTATCGAACCTCTTCCTGTTTCTCCAACTCATCCCCTTTCGAACCTCTATTTCATCCTCTTCAACCTCTTAAATCTTCGCCAATTCTCTGTACCATCCGCAATCTCCTTCGACAGTTTCGTTGATTTCCTCGTCCCTGTTTTTCCACTTCTTCGAGTATTACACATATACACTCCCTTTCGAAATTTCTGTCCCATTATCCGACGATGATTTTTCAAACTTTCGTCCATCTATTTTCCCCCAGCGGAGAGCTACGAATTCGCTACTCTCGTCTCTGAATCCCGCGATTCCATTTCCACCGCAACGATTCCTCCAATAATTTCTACCTTTTCATCGTGATAAATTGCGGCCGATAAATCCATGTTCCATTATGCCGCGTATTAGTTGGCGAATGATAAATTAACATAAGAATGGACGTCGAATGGAGTCCGAACGATACCACGTAAATGCAGTTACCCCGATCGCGAAAATATCCCGTCGTTCGAGTGGACTTTCCACGTGAAGCGATTCGTATCCATCCACCTCTGGCCAAAGCCGATCCGCTCTTTCGAATGCAAATTAGGTATTAACGAATTTTACAGCTGTACGAATTTCTTCGGCAATTTTGCGGACAATTTTTTCGCTATGAATTTCTTCTTTTTTTTTTAAGGAATTGTGATTTGTCGAAGGGAACGTCGTATATTAATTTTTGAATTCTTTGGCAACAGTGAACGAGTGATTTTACATTACGAATGGATCTTAATTTATTAGGCAAATTATTGTGGAAATTTTGACGAAAGGGATCTATGATAAAGATAAGAAATCGTAGAAAATATAGACACTGTAAAAGAGGTTAGGGTTAGGTTACGTTCTATATTAATTTTTTAATTCTTTAAGTCGTTATCACGAGCGATTTTCCATCACAAGTGGATCTTAACTCATTAGGCAAATTATTTTGACAAAAGAGATCTAGGATAAAGAAGAAAGAATCGTAGAAAATATAGAATATTTAATATTAAACATTCCTAATCTGCAGTTTCAGAGAAATATTAAAAAAAAAAAAAAATACTCAAACACTTAACTAACTTAAATTTCGCCAATAAATCTTAATCAAAAAAGTACTCGCTCGTTCTCGCTTCAAAAAACAGCCCGAAAAGATTGCTTTTCTATTTCCCCAGTTTCAACCCGACCGCTTTAAAATTGCCCCGGGGTGAAAAAAATTGGTCTTTTCGTTTCTTTCGACGATTTCCGAAGGAATTAGCCAGTTTTTCGGAGCAGCGTCGATGGTTTCGAAGGACACAAGACCGGGTTCAGTTTTCGGGATAAACGAAATAATCTCGCGAGTATCGAGTCGTCACGTGAAATTTCGTTTTCCTCGAGCGATGGGGGTCGCCGCTGCTATTCACAAAGTAATACCATAAACTTCCTGCCGGCCCGTTACGAAAGCCCGCGAACGGAAATAACGAAATAACTCCGGAACTCGATCGATTTCATCCCTTTCCGCGGCGATACGCCGTCTATCCTCGTTTCGTATTCAGCTTTTGTCTCCTGGCTACAAGTTACTCCAGCCACCACCTCCCTCCCCTTCAATATTTCATGATTTGCGTTACGCACGCTGACCAGCCACCCTCCAAATTGCTGGATCCGCCTTGCAACCCCTTTTTTCCCTGCCTCTGCTCCATTTTTTCAAGATTTTTTCCCTCCTTTTTGTACAAGTCCGAGCTGCATCGATTTTACGAACTTTTCTCGGAGTTTTGTCGTGCTTTTGTGCGTTTAAAATTGAGGAATTAGGCGAGATTAGCTTTTTCGAAAATTTCAATGTTTCTGATGGAGGGAATGTGAAAATATAGCGAATTCGTTGTGCAATCTTGTAACGAGAAATTGTGAGAGTATGGTCGAGGGAGCGTTGGGACTCGCGCTGGTCTATGACCCGCAGACCGAGAGGTCCCAACACCCTGACACCCCCACGCGCTAAAGGCTGGGTCAGTAAGGACCCCCAACCTGTGCCAGGGTGGCAAGAGAGGGGCGTCAAGGCATGTATATAAGGACGCGTTGAATAATGCTAAGGGGAATATATCAGAAAGATTATTATGAAACGTGCAGTTGGTAAAGACGGACAAGAAAGGAACGAGGCGTCAACGAGAACAAATAAATATAGTTTCAGCATCTGTTTAACAAATCCTGACAAGTATCATTTAACCCCGCACAACCCTTACAAAATGCAGTTCAATTGCTATAGATTCAAAATTAATAGAATGTTACTAAATAAAACGTTAGAGCATTTGTTTTTCTAATTTTAGAAAAATAATGGTTGAAGGGGTTAAATGGAAATTTTGCATTGGTCCAGCATAATGCACAGCATCAGTTTTTAATTATACAATAAAAGTTTCATTCACCTGAAATATTCACGAATAAATCGACGCCACTGACAATTTTTACAAAATTATACGAACAAAAATTTAATAAAATATGCAAATTATAAAATAATAAAAATTTCACTTTCCTCCAATTTATTCGTATAAAAAATCGATCCACCACATTAGCAACTAGCATTTCTTCCCCTAAATTCGTCGTACTAAACGAAACCTTAGCACGAAATGTTCGCAATCTAAAATAATAGCCGTCTGGTTCGATAGAAAAATGCAAAGGACCGAGAAGATTCGCGTAAACTGCTGTTTCTTTCGATTCGATCATCAAAGCCGTGCCTTTTCAGCCTGCCTTTATGACATCCACTCGCGCGATACTTCTTTTATTCCCGATCCTTGGATTTCCGCTAATTCCAGTCGAAATTGCCGCGCTACGGAACGCAAAGAAACAAATTGCAACCGGTCGAAGGATCCTCCTCTGTGCTCTTTATCCTCGAATTCCACTGGTTAACCCGTTCGGTTTCCGCGTCTTTGAGAACCGCCAGATCAAAAGGGGTGGCTCGCCACCTTCTATTTATCCTCTTGCGACGTCAGTGGTGCTTCCTAGCAATTATGTCGCTTTCAGAAACGTCGAGAAGCTATTATGACATCGTTATTATTTTTCACCCGATCGCCGGCGGAGCAGTCCCCACAAGAGTATGGTCGAGGGAGCGTTGGGACTCGCGCTGGTCTATGACCCGCAGACCGAGAGGTCCCAAACGCCTTGGTATAAAAAATCGATCCACCACATTAGCAACTAGCATTTCTTCCCCTAAATTCGTCGTACTAAACGAAACCTTAGCACGAAATGTTCGCAATCTAAAATAATAGCCGTCTGGTTCGATAGAAAAATGCAAAGGACCGAGAAGATTCGCGTAAACTGCTGTTTCTTTCGATTCGATCATCAAAGCCGTGCCTTTTCAGCCTGCCTTTATGACATCCACTCGCGCGATACTTCTTTTATTCCCGATCCTTGGATTTCCGCTAATTCCAGTCGAAATTGCCGCGCTACGGAACGCAAAGAAACAAATTGCAACCGGTCGAAGGATCCTCCTCTGTGCTCTTTATCCTCGAATTCCACTGGTTAACCCGTTCGGTTTCCGCGTCTTTGAGAACCGCCAGATCAAAAGGGGTGGCTCGCCACCTTCTATTTATCCTCTTGCGACGTCAGTGGTGCTTCCTAGCAATTATATCGCTTTCAGAAACGTCGAGAAGCTATTATGACATCGTTATTATTTTTCGAAAATGCTTCCACGTCGATTTCCTTCATTTCGTGCTTCCACATTTGGGGAAAAATGATTATAATTTTGTATCTGCACTGAATTTTCTTTGGTTTGGAAGAAGAGGTTGTTTTGAATGTGAAAATAATTATAACATTGTAAGAATCGACGGAAAAATTTTTAGGGATCCAACGGGAATCGAACCCGGGACCTTCGGTTTAGCAAGCCGAGGCTCTGCGCACTACGCCAACTACTCCCTCTGTACTTTTCCTTGTCAATTTCCCTTTTTAGGTACGGAGATCCCGATACTACAACATTAGGCTTACGTTGAGTCTTTTTTTTCAACTGTATAGAAGCCAACGTGGGTAACTTTATCAAATCAAAAATACAGGAAATTTTTTAAAATTTCGCTCGAGACGTTTTAACCCTTCCACTACTATTGGCGCCTATAGGCGCTTTGAAAATTTGTTCGTATCGTGCTATTGGAGCCTTTTGCCCCGATACTACAACATTAGGCTTACGTTGACTCTTTTTTTTCAACTGTATAGAAGCCAAAGTGGGTAACTTTATCAAATCAAAAATACAGGAAATTTTTTAAAATTTCGCTCGAGACGTTTTAACCCTTTCACTACTATTGGCGCCTATAGGCGCTTTGAAAATTTGTTCGTATCGTGCTATTGGAGCCTTTTGGCGCACTTCTATGTTAATACAAGCGTTAATTTGATCCTCTACACTCTTCCACGTTAATTCAGTGAAACAAATTCTAAAATGACACGGCTAAAAAAGAACGTTTGCGGCCGTTGTGGAATATTTGAATATGCCACGCGCGTTGTGCACTAAAATTTGCCGTAGCCAAAGGGTTAAAAAGCGAACTACGTAAATTTATCAATTATCTCTCCTTCATGTTTCACAGAGCTAATTACTCTGCCTTCTGAGCAGCTCAAAAATTGAAAATTTTCAAGGGAACATATAGCAATGTTCGACAATACACAAGTATTAATCTCTGCTGCATTACGAGGCTTTTCTACATTCCTCTCCCTGCCACAATTCTCGATTCGATCATTATCCGGAATCAATACTCGAGGAAGAACACATTTTCTCGTTTCTCTTTATCTCTCTTTCATCGATCAGATTCGAACGGTGTATTTCAAAGGGGGGAGAGAACATACCTCTATATGGTTGAGCAACGTAAAGCCAATGTTATGCACTGCTATTCCGTTAGTCTGTAACAAAGAAGAATTATCGGAAAGTTAGTTGAGCATTTTGCCAATTAAGGATCGTAACAAGCTGCTCGACGGAAGAACAGTTTTTTCCCTTGTTTGTTTCTTATTTTCTTTGTTTCGACAACGAGAGAGGGAAACGCGCGTCTCGTTGTATTAAGGAAAACGGTTATTATTGTTACTCGATAGGATACGCGGGAAACGAAAGCTTAAACGAGACGATAACGAGAGGAGAAACGAAATTTGCCGGCAACGCGAAAATTACCGGGGAACTTCGGTCCCGCGGAAACTTAAGAAGCCC